TTGAAACCTCTCTCCTGAAAAGTTATCATTTTGCAGATGTGGCTTTATTACACCAAAACAATGAGAGTTCTCAAATTGAGAAATCTTTTGGCATAGTGTATAGATTAGCAGCAGTAGAGATTAGATTAAATTATTATTCATAATTTATTATTTAGATCCTTGCCTTACCTATTTCTGCTGCCAATCAGTAATGTTAGCATTACTGCGTTCCTATTTAAAAGGATAAGGGCGCTGGTGAAATTACAGGCACATGGGACTTGTCAACTAATGTCTCAGGGTGACGGGCGCAGTGGCAGTGCCCCTCATATCTTTAAAGCTCTGAGTGGCACTGCAACTGTTATGGATTGGCGTGTAGCTTACCATCAGGCGCACGACTTCCTCGTCCCTTCACTAGATATTATAAAAAACATTGTTCAAGACAGTCTTGGCTATGAATAAGCCAAAATTCCTGTGTATTTAGTTGTAATTAAATTGTAATATAATAATAATGTCCCAGACAACCAGTTCTCAGACATTTCCTGTACTATAAGCACCAGAGCAAAGGAATACATTCCGGGGCACTATATACAGATTTTCCCGCTGAACCACGTCAGTGTGGCCTGACCTTTAGAGATGTTCTTAGAAGCGATTGTCAGCATTGTTCCGGTACAAAATTGCTCTTGCGAAGTATTTGGAAAAATAGATTAAACGGATCATAGCGTTTAATCTCGTAATGGGAACGAGGTACATAGACATTGGCCAAATTAAAGGCGGAATCAAAAAGTATTTGATCTTGTAATGGAACCAAGGTTTTTTTTTATGATACGACATGACGAACAAATCGGTAAGAAACTCGCCCATCCATGACTTTTGTTGCAGTGCCACTCAGAGCTTTAAATCCGAAAGATCTGAAATATAAGTTGACAAGTCCCATGTGCATGTAATTTCACCACCACACTTTAAAACCGGAAGATACCGGTACATAGACATTGGACAAATTAAAAATAAGAAGATTGAATCGAATAGCTATATTAGTTTATATAGGAGGCAGTAGTAGAAGTGGTGATATTCTTTGGTTGGACTATGAACGCGAGCAGAAGACGTTACTTCTGTTGCAGGTGATGGTCCTCCTACTTCTCTTAGTAATATTAACATCCTTACTCATGAAGCCCGTGAAGTGAGGATTAGTAAGCCTCCGATTAGATACAGCTTTGTATTTTATTGGATTAGTGCTTAATTAGTCATTTGCCATTTCATGTACAGTCAAGAGTACATCAAGCTTGACACTTTGAACTTTGGACCGTCCTTATTAGTTAAATTTAAACCTTTAGTATCAAGCTTGACGTGCTCTTGACCCTGTACCTACTTTGTCTTCGTAGTCACACGAGTCGATTAGCAAAAGGAGAGACCAACTGCTTTTAAACAGCTTAAATGTAGTCGTGCCCACATTTGAAATTCTGTCTGACGATATTGAAACTAATATTTTGCACTAAATTATTATACTAACTTCATTCTTACGCAGCAGCGCGGCTTATATGTGTACAGTCAGTGTGCAGTGTAAAGATGAACACATTCGCATAATAATGAAAGGCGCGTTTGGACGACCAGTGTTATGCAATGCGAGTGCATCACGAAATTATGCGAATGTGTGCGTCCATACACGGCACGCGGCGCGTCGCGTCGGGCCGTGTCGGGCTCGTACACTTACAAACCGCGCAGCTACGTTTGTATTAGCGATGCACGTTTGCGAATGACTTCGATAATCGACTCGTTAGTAATTACAAACGGCTCGAACAGATCCTTACGATATTCGTATGAACTTGGAACAATATCATACGACATCGTGTTTAGACAAGTCCGGAACTCGTAAGCAAAAATCTCCTTACTACATATATCTCTGTGTAAACAATCGAGGAGGCCATTAAGTTGTTTGCGAATCTCGTATGACATAGGCGAGATTTTAGTTCTTGCCTTGTTAAGGCAAGAACTATGCCTGAACGTAAACATTATTATACGATAACCTTTTGGCGATTATAAGTGTACTATAAACTCTCTCCATCTAATTCATTCATTCGAATAACAAATACCTACTAATTTTCGTATTCGAATGATCTGAATGATCATTCATTACTAATTAGTATTACTAATCCATAGATAACATAGAGCATTTTCGCCTAGCCCTCTCTGACATATTATGGTAATTACAGTAAATTTGACGGGGCAGGGATTATTTCAAATGGACATGGTGAATGGTCTGGAGGAGTTCCGAGTAGTTCCCACTTAATAAGCATTCGAATCGTGCACCCGACCGAATCGACTTAGGCGAATGATTTAATAATATTAACGCGACACACTCATAGCTCATTAATTTTAAGACACTCATTAACACACTCATTAATTTTAAGTTTTACTAACTTTAGATTAAGTTCACATGTATGTACTAGCAAGTGAGTCTATTGTTACTCGAAATAAAAAGTTATTATTATATTATATTATTATAGAGCCCCGCACTAGGGAAAACCTGTGGCGCGGGTGCCATGGACCACACATAAACAACCACAAACTACACCCAAACTCACGAGAGAAATAAATGTAGGCCGTAGGTACATATATTTCTCTCGGCCTGAGAATCGAACCCAAGACCTCTGCGTGGCAGTCCGGTATGGTAACCGTTCGGCCACGGAAGCAGTTTTATTTCGTATTAGTAAGTAGGGTAATATTGGGCATTCTAGGCCACCGTCGTTAGTCCACACGTTAAAAATCGCGGTTTTAAAGTTTGCGTTCTCACTCAGCTCGACGTTGGCGACACACGACAGATTAGCTTATAATGTTACGCGATGTCGTCAACGGAGGAGGTCTTGTGTTTTTTGGGAATAATATCATGTCACATTTTGAAAACTAAAAAAAGAAGACAAAATCGGCGAGTATGGGTGAAGAACTGGCATACGATAAGAGAGCATTTATCACATGTAAATTTAGTAAGAGAGTTACGTAAAGAAAAGGAAGACTTTCGTAATTATTTAAGAATGCCCGAGTCGTTGCACGAAGAACTCTTGCACTTAGTTACACCTATAATAGCTAAACAAGATACCTACATGAGAGAAGCTGTTTCATTTGAAACAAAATGGCGGCTCGTGACTCGCGACGCTGACAGACATGCGAGCCGAGGCGGGCTACGAGCAAGATTTCAAACATGTTTGATCGCTGATGGACTTACGCGGTAGTTTTAAAATTCGCGTACTTAGGGTGACACATGAGTGAAAAAGGTCATCGAGCCACAAGTACGCGTATTTACTCGTACGTCTATCACCCACTTTATACCTTTAAAGTGAAATGGTATCCTGGTTATAGTTCATATCACGACATTTAAACGTTTGCTTTTTAGAAATAAAATAATAACAACTGCTTTTTCTGTAGATGAACGTAGTAAAAATTTGCGGAACTTTTGTGATTTGTTAGTATCCATGATCCGCTACTAGTACCTGTTTTCCGTCCGACATCTGTCGAAAACAATTATTGTCAAATAGAAATTAGAAATTAGAAATTAGAAATTAGAAATTAGAATGCCATTTATTGCACAATCACAAACACGCATATAAACAAAAAACAAAAATAATAATAAAAACAAAAGGACATTGAGGAACAATAATAATACAAAATATGCAGGTAATTCATCGTCATGCGTGTCGCGACTAGTGCAAACGGGACTTGCTCAGCTTTAGCCACAACCGGTTTGTTTACCGTGTCGTGGCACTGATTTTCAGCAAGCCCGGGCGAGTGAGTCATTGACAATGATAATCTAATCGAAAAAGAAGTAAACCTAAAGAGATAGCAAACCTATGAGAGTAATAGAAATAATAATAATAATACAATAATAAATATAAATATAACAATGTTGTACATATAACTATATAGAAATACGTAAATGATAATAAATGGATAATGTCTAGTTTTGTGAAGTGTGGCGTCCGCGCGGACGATACAGGAGATCGAAGCGGGGTGCGGGTGTGGGTGACAATATAGACAATACTCGACCTAAATTAAAAGACGCATGATAATATTTATGTGGTCTGTGCATGAGGCGAATGAAGCTTCGTACTTGACATTGTCTCGTAACTTGTTCGGGTATTACTTATTTGAAAGTAATTGTTCTCGACGGATGTTCTTCTGTTTTCATTATCAATTTAAAAAACCAAGTGATATTTTTATTTTAATCATATGATCAAAATGAAAGAAAGAAAGACTAGGATTTTTAAATTATATGAATAAAATTGGGTCCCCCGCGGCAAGGTGCCCAAGGTACTGGCAACGTTCCCCCTTTGTATTGCTTTGATAGTGCGTTGGGCAAGGTAGCCGGCCCTGACAGACAGAATTTGTTCATTTCGTGGTTTTCAATATCGCAAAAACCGATTTTCCGCGTGCTCGAAATACGACAAAACGTCTATTTTGGGTTTACTCTAACTTCGCCTTATACAGACAAGTCCTTTTTTATTCATACGAGACTCTTCTTCTTAACCAACTTTAGAAAGTAGGATGTTCTCAATTCGATTGTATTTAATTTTTTTAATGACTGAAGAAATGTATGTTACTCAATCTCCGGCATTTGTGAATCGAATTTGAAGATTCTTTTTTTGTTGGAAAGAGGGTACCTCAATATTGGTCCCATGTAAATTTAAAGAAAATATTGTACCTCCCAGGGTGGAATACTAGGGGATGAATTAGGTTTAAAAATTGGCAAACAAATGTAATTAAACGAACTACTTATTGAGGTTTTTTCATAAAAAAGTTTTCATTTACATATATTATATAATTTACAGTTCTTTTTTTATTCAAGCATGACTACAATGGCTCCAGATGCCCAATGCCAATGATACGCGTTTGTTTAAAAATATTAATTTGAACCGGTTAAAAAGAATAATGCATTATAACTTTTATCTTATCGGTTAGCTTGTATAATCTAATCTCAAATGCATAATATCATATCTAATATCTCACTTCAACTATTTAAAATTAGCACATACCTCTGTAAAAATCATCGGTGGCGAAAGTACCACCACTGTGGATCTCGAAGTCATCGTCAGGTGACGCCGTTGCCAGCAACTCTTGTGACAGCGAGTTGTCCAGTATGGCTGGGAACTTTCTCGTCGTACCAAGTATTGGCTGGAAATACAAATTAAGGAATGAGATTTCTGGATAGTGGTAAATGTATATAAAAATAAAATACAAAAAAACATAGAAATAATGTCACCAATTTTTGTAAAACTTCAAGTCCGTTGTGGCTTCAAGGGCTATTCCTAAGGGTGTACAAAGCGCCAGGTTAAGTGACACTGGCGGTTTTAACGGTACAATACAAAACGTTATAATTTTAAACTATCAAATAGTTCCAGGCAGTCGTTCCCACTAGGTACTCTACTCCTTCACAATCTGTTTCATTTTATGAAAGACATTATTACAGTTAGCCACTGTTGGCCTTGACTGCGCCACCAGATTGTCTCCCATCATAAAAATTGGGTCGAAGTGTTCACCGTTCGGACTGTTAGTAAGTCTTTTTTTTAAAAACACACTTTCCCGAAAATTGTATAATTCGGGAAAAACTGGTAATTAATCTAAGTAAAATAAAATGAAAAATAGTATAAGAAATGGAAATTGAATTGGTACGTATTTATACGCCGGGAGTTTCAATGGAACTAAACTGCTTTCTATGGAGTTTTAATTGATGTTTAAAGAAGAATGCTGACTAGAAGAAACGGAAGGGCTGATTCTAGTAATTCAGATAGCAGGTCTGGAATATAACAGAATGAAAATCTTAACACCGAAATGTATATTTAGATAAAACGAATCAATATCATTTAGCGGATTTTTATGAAACTATATGACGAGTAAAGTCGCATTGTATACGAGTATAAATAATACCTAGGTTTTGTTACAATGCCAGATACATATTTCGAATATATATTTCCGAAGTTCAGAAAAGGGTTTCAAGGGTTAGTAGGATTTGACATTCCAGTTTGTACTTAAAATTGACATTCAAGTTACATGGTTGAGGTTCAAGAATGGTTCAGACGATACTGACCTCCTTCATCGTCATCCCTCTTTCTATCACCGTTTTTACTGGTTCCTGGCTGACTTTTAACATTTTCAATTCCAATAATCTTACGTTGGTTCGTTCCGTCATCCTTCCCATCAAAATTTACGAAGCGAGAGGACTTGCTTATTAAATGAAACTCAACTTCGCATAATTTAACTTTAAACTTTTTAACTTCACTTTTAACAATTTTACTTCACGTAATGTAGATACCACAAAAGCTGTCGGCGAGCCTGTTGCTAAGAACGATTTTGATGTATAAACAGTTCAAATTTATTTATTACGAACATTACTATAATATGATGGTCGAGAATTGTGCCGTATACGATCTTCATCTAAATGAAATAAAGGAAGGAGTTTCTTAAAAAAAACATATTACCGATAAACAGTTAAATACTTACTCTAGCAACCCTGCATAGACGATAGCGCCGTAACTCATAACACAGATATGCTGAACAATCTTTGACACGCAACGTTCGTGTCGATGTTTGTTACATAGAGGTCTTGTAATTTGTGTTTCATTCATAACCCAGACTGAATATTTTTCTTATTTTTTTTACAATCCGTCGTCGCGCGGCATTTTCCTTCTGTTCTCTTATTGGATCGCTGAATTGTATAACGATCGTTCGTAGGGTGGTGATACCTACTCCGGCAGGTTATACTCAGGAAACCCTACCTTCAGTATAATTTTGTAATAACTTTAAATATTTTATAAAACGATTGTCATGACATAACAGGCCCAATGTTATCCAATATTGGGTCAAATAGGTCGTAAGGTCAAGTATTATAGTCTTATCTTCAAAGCATTGAAACGAGTATTTGAAAAATACGAGTAACTCACCAAATCATATGTCCGTTCCAAAACCCCGTTGAGTCCCCACGAAGACACGACAACGGACCCAGCTGGGATGCCCACCCCACCACTGGTGCCAATCCTGAAGAATTCTGGATCCTTCACTCCCGCATAGTGCATCAGCTTGATCACCTCTTGCATGAGGACAGTCATTGAAGGAATGCCGATGCCGTGCTGCGGAGATTTTATATACATAAATAGAATAAGTGAACCTATTGTTTTAAACTTGAAACTAATGAAACCTATTAAACAGAATCGAATATTGAAACGCGATGGTACATTAACTAGAACTTGGGCTAAATACGTTAATGCAATGAAAGAATTTAATGTACTCTGTAGTGAATTAGTCAACGAGCGTTTACACTACGTGCAAGTAGTAACCACGTAACTCTACAATGAAAGGACATAACGGCTCATGTGGCAATGACGCAATAGATACGCTGGACAGGGTTGGAGATGAACGTTGCAGGACCAGAAGCTACAGTGTCTCTCCCCTACCAATGGTCAAGAGCAAAAACACACAAAGGTACAAAAACTTCTCATAACTACACCTGGACAAGCCAAGTTACGGCTTGTAACAGGATAGGAGAGCACTCCCAGCGCTCAACACCAGTCTATCCCGAAAATTTCTTAAACTCAAAAGGCAAGAGACAAGACACTCTAACTGCCACCCTAACTGGTCATGCTCCATATAATAAACACCTTTTAATTTAGGTATCACGGACAGCCCTCTATGCAGAGCGGACATCGAGCCGGAGGAAACGGCCACGCGTATCCTACTACAGTGCTCGGGATGGGCTAACTACTACTACGAAATACTTTGTAATGCCGAGGTCACTCCCCGAAATCTTCAGAAGACACAGAAGAATGCTAAGATTCCTGGAGGAGCATGGCTGGCTCGAGTAACGCCCTGCACCCATCATACGCAAAATAGGCGCCCAGATGTCGAGTAGCCATCACCAGCCCGTTACACCATACCAGCCAAGTTTTCATTGAGTTATCTTGAGCTTTATTAATAATGAGCTAGAAGACTTAAGAACTGGGATTCAGGTTTAGTGTTTTATATAGGATACCGTGGTTAGCATAATGGTGATGCGTGTCAAAAAAGTCCAAGCCTAATACGACTCTGTACGACCGACGTCAAGATACTACGGCAATCTGACGAAGTTCGCTAATTGTGTAGTAAGGTGGTAGTACTTACGCTTACAGAAAGTACGGGTCCGACCTTATACATTGCATATCTTTGGGAATGTTTAGTCAAATTCACCAGCTTCCCTTCCTGAGGAATCTCAAGTACCACTGCCATGTATGCTGCAAATTCGCGCATTCTGTACTTTGTACCTCCCATGCACACATACTGAAATGGAAATAAATTTTATCTTCAAGAGAACCTTTAATTAGCCAATCAATAACATACTGGTAAAGTACCGAATGTAACGAATATTCGGTATTCGGCCTTTTCGGCCTATTTTTTGTTATTCCACCGAATTTCGAATATCTAAAAACTACCTGCTACGAACTGACTCCGCGGCCGAACGGTTACCATGTTAGACTGCCACGCAAAGATCTCCCGGGTTCGATTCCCGAGCTGGGAGAAATATTTGTATGGCCTACATTTATTTCTCTCGTGACTTTGGGTGTAATTTGTGGTTGTCTAAGTGTGTGTCCAAGGCACCCGCGATACACGGTTTCCCTAGTGGCTATGAGTAAATGCTTTAAATAACTAAGAACCATCCCAATTAAATAAGCTTTCTTTAATAAAAACAGTAAAAAAAAAACAAAAAGTACCGTAAATTTATTATGTAACTTTAATTTATGCTGAACATTCATTGTAAATTCGTGAAAGGACAATTTATCAAAAATATCATAGGAAGTGTAAACAACTTTTTTGTTTTTAATTTAAACGGCTTTTTTACCGTAGCGCCATCTGTGAGAAAACGATGTAGGTTTTTTCTTTGCTCAGCCAGACATCTTATCAATGAAGATGGCAATAGGAAATTAAACTGTTTTTTCGGACCAAAATCGTGTGTATTTGTTTTTTTTCAAACAAATCGACATTTCAGGCCCTTTACAGGTCCCATGGTCACGGTAGACTGTAAATCCGAAAATATAGTTTCATTTCCTATGTATATATAACAATCGCGAAAACCTAAGAACTCGATAAGATTGCGATATTTATTTTATTGAATATCATGTTTTTATTATCATGTTATACATTTCTTTTTCAGAAAATACTCCTTTTTTATAACATCAAGTGACGGGACGAACAAATCGTGCGCCTAGCTACACGCCTGTCCATAACAGTTACAGTGCCACTCAGAGCTTTAAATTGCAAAAATTTGTGGGGCACTACCCTGAGACATTAATTGACAAGTCCCATGTGCCTGTGGTTTCACCAGCACCCTTACCCTTCAAAACCGGAACACAGTAATGCTGACATTACTGCTTGGCGGCAGAAATAGGTAAAGTGGCAGTACTACCCTGAACGAACTCTTTCACAAGAAGCTCTACTGCTACTAAACTAATTTACTCCACTAGTAAACTCCACTAGTTTGCTGGTATTACTAATACAAAGATCGAACAAACAGAAAGGAAAATTCCGGCGATCCGGCTGGATTCGTACGAGCACATGTTTGCCAGACCGAGGCCAACTAAGATATTTTTCTAAAAAAGGGTTAGGTACCATTTGCAAACAAATGAAAATTACATACTTATTAGGTAATTCAGACATGACTATAGACACACTAAGAAAATCAACGAAATACACATTTCCAAAACAAAAAAGAATATATGTTTTTGAAAGTTAATTAAATTGAAGAGAAATAAACAATTTATTTCTTCATTAAGATCCATTTAAATTATAAGCTTGGAAATTAAAGTACATTTTTTATTTCATTACACAAAACTATTTATTTATCATAAGTTGTATTTTTCGTGCCAGTTTTCGTATGTGCTACTGCTAAATCAGTAGTAGTTTGGCCGAATAAGTGGCTATTCGGCCACGTTAGTAACCGAATATGCGGTACGCGGCCAGAAACCGAATATATGTATATTCGTTGCAACACTAATATCAACACATTACGTTCAACTATTAGACACAGTGATTTTTGCCAGATTCAGTAAGGGATTTCATCATAAATCAATTTAATTTATTAATCATTGGTGAAATGAACTAAATAAATACCTTGACATCACCAAACATGGCCTTCAAGTCATTGCTTGAGGTGTCCAAACCTAGATGGTACAGCACATCAACTTCCAGATTTAGAAGATGATCATTTTTGAGAAGACTCTTTCCATCCTGTTGCCTGTAACAAAAATTCATGACCATTAATTGATTATATCAACTATACGTTACACTGCTTTCCTATGGCCGTTATAACCGCGTGGCCTTAATAGGTAATACTGCCCTCCATATCATAACTAACATAATCGACATTATAATTATTAATACAAAGATGAACACTTAGAAAAATCCCTACGGTCCGGCCGGATTCGAACCGACGTGTTCTAGCAAACCGTGCCAGACGCTATGCCAACTAAGCCACTGAACGAACCAGCGGACCTCATGAATTTTTCAATGTGCTTGGTTTTCAAGGACTCTAGCCGTAGCGCCATCTATGAGAAATCTATGAAAGTATTTTGTCACCCAGTAAAGTAACTTTACAGCTACCAGCCCTGGCTAGAGATGTCGCTATTAATTGTAATTAAATTTGTATTTGTATCAATATATTCAATTATTTTTTCTACACTCCACTAGTTTATTAAAAAAGTATAGAACACTTTTCAACAACTTTTTAACAGTAGCAGAATTTTTTCTAAGTATTCGATCTTTATATTTATATATATAACAAACTCGAGGAGTAATTTCACAAAAAACAATATCAATTCAATACAAACTTAATAATCGATTTTGTTTTTAATAAAATACAGTTATTAACGTATCTGGATTCCGCAAAACGGTATCTACTACCCCTATAAGCGATTCTTTAATATCCTATTTAATTTCAATTTTATTGTTAAGCAAAATTAGCGTTATTGCCATTTATTAAGTGACAATAAGACTTCAGGTGTCAATATCTCGAAAGTAACCGAAATCCAAATGCGTTATAGGCCCATTTAGATGGAGAGAGTTTATCGCACGCTTCGTGACGAAGAATTGTACGCGATTATCGCAAGTAATAATCGTATCATAATGTTTACACTCAAGCAAGAACTAAATTCTCGCCTACGATTATGTCATACGAGGTTCGCTAGCAATTTAATAACCTCCTCGACTATTTACACACAGAAATATGTAGTAAGGAGATGCTTGCTCACGAGTTTTCGACTTGTCTAAACAAGATGTCGTATGACATTTTTTCAAATTCATACGATTATCGTACAAACCGGTTCTTTTAGAATTGCCATTCGAGTTTAGTCATTTCTGCGTTATTGACTATGGATATCAAAATGACGCAAAAATCATTCAAATTTGGAACTGCTGATAATATTAAGTTCATTGCACTGCATAGAAATATATATTTTTTTATTTTATAACATTTCTTAACCCAAAATTTATTTTCGTTCTCGTTTCATTAATTCTTGTCTTACAAAAACCGTGATAATCAAAACACCCCCTCGCACTACACCCATGGTAGCAGCAAGCGGTTGCCACAAAAACTCGAAATACGATTTTTGCTTTCAAGTTCTGTTTACATGGAGACGTTCAATATTCAAAGGCGAGGCGATTATCGCTCACGTGAAAGGGCGATAATCGCGAATGTTTAGACGAGGAAATTTTTTTATATTCTTTCGATAATCGTATCTTCGAGACTAGAAACTCTCTATCTAAATGGGCCTTTAGTTATGACAACGAGGACAGAATACCAGTTAGTACTTAATAATAACCCAAGGATATACGCATATAAAAGCCTGAGGTAGCCTAAGGGGCATTCCCACTATGTCGTGACGACAGATAGTCGTGCAATTTAAGATATCGTAGCTTGTATATTTAAATGAAGTTGTTCACACACACAGAAAAACACTGACTGTGTAAATTTTATTGAAATACAATGAATAGCGACATCTCTAGTCGGGCCTGGTAGCTGTAGAGGTATCTAACTGGGTGACGAATACGAATACTTAAGATTGTCGTTGAAAAAAAACCAAATACAAAGACACGACAACAAACACATAGAAAAATTCGTAAGGTCCGCTGGTTCGTTCCGTGGCTTAGTTGGTATAGCGTCTGGCACGATATGCTTGAAGACGTCGGTTCGAATCGAAGGAATTTTTTTCTGAGTGTTTGATATTTGTATTAATAATTATAACGATTAACTGTCGTTCATCACTGTTTTGACGTTACGACAACAGATTGTCGTGACAATGGAAAAGTAGTCCAACGATAAATAAAACGTCATGATATAAATGTGACGACAGATAATCAGCTTCAAACGATTCTGTCCGTCTGTGAACCGATAAATTGTCGTCACGATCTAGTGGGAACAGCTAGACACGACAGTCGCTCAGCAATAATATAAACGTCCACGACATGAGAACAGGCTAGACGCGACAGTCATCCAACGATAAATAAAACATTACGACATAATGGGAACGCTCCCTAATGGTTTAACCTAGAGCATCTGAAGCAAAGGGTCGTGACATCGAATCCTTACGTGCATCTCTGAGTTTATGCGAAATTTACCTTGAAATTTACCATGAGATGTACATGTATGTTTACTAGTTGTAAACATACTCGTTTAAATTTAGTTTTAGTTACAATAGAAAAAGTACATACGTGAGGCGCACTACAAGTTTCAGGAATGAATAAGAAAAAAATACTGTAAATATAATAAATACTGTTCTCAAAATATTCCCCGTCAGCGTTAATGCACTTTTTCATACGAAAGAACCAATTTTGAAAACATTTATGTCACTGCTCCGTGACAATTTCTGAAACATATTTTTCATACTCTTCGATAGACTCTTCAGATGATGAAACTCGGGTGGCTCATAAGGTCAACGTTGTTCACCTTCAAAAATTCATTAGTCTGTCTGGCCGTGTGAGAACTGGCATTATCGTGGTGCAAGATGATATGGCGTTTACGGTTATTTTTGCAGAGTTTGTTTATAACTTCGGGCAAACAAATGGTCGTGTACCAATCACTTTTCACGGTACCACGATTCTCTAAAGCAACAATAGCTACGTGTCCAGTTTTATTAAAAAAAGAAGCAATCATCCGCTTAGAGGCACTTTGCACGCGCACCACTTAGGTTGGTTTCGGCTCATCTCGAAACCCATACGCTCGATTGCTGCTTTGTTTTGGGATCGTAACTATAAATCCATATTTCGTCACCTGTTACTATACCCACACCTAATTTGACGCCCTTTCGTTGTATCTGGTCAGCATGGCATTGCACCAAGTGACGCGTTCCGTTTTTTGAGCCTCAGTCAAAAAGTCGTAGAAAATCATAATACGAAAATTTTCACGAGTTAAATCCATGGTGACGTAGACAACCAATTTCTAAAATGACGCCACAATGTTAAAACAAGTGACAGTCAGATGAAACAAACTGTGTTCTACAGCCAAAGTGTTCCATTTTCAAATGTTGTAATTACTTTTTAAATATTGTTTATGTACTTGCATATGGCTTCTTGGCCAGTTCCGGAAACTTAAGTGCGCTCTATGTATTATAAAAAGATTAAATTATATAAAACTGTTGTTAGATATTTAATTAATTACATATTAAGTAAATGTAAGAATTATGCCTAGTCCTCTCTTCTAGTATTTGCTGTGCCCTATTCAGGGTCCATAATTTAGTGTACATTATGTTATGGTATGCAAATACATGAGAAAACATCATGAGGAAACGTTCACATATTTGCAAAGCAATTTAATGATATATGTGAAGTCACCAATCTTGGCCCCGCGGGGGAACTACATCCCAAACCCTCTTATAGAGACCCCTCTCTAGCCTGTGTCTAACAGTGGTACTATATAATAGGCTATATTCACATACCATATTAGAGGAGACCAAGGCAAAGCAATACGACATATAAGTAACAATCGTACGTGACTATCAAGTAGAGATACAGGTAAATACAAGCAAGTCTACGATTCTCGATTGACAGACACGGCCCATGACCGTCATCAGGCGATATAAAGTCAAATCTTATCAGAAAACTATACCTAAGTGAATTGAAATCTTTGCTAAATAAAGGTTATTGTTTTTCAATTCTCCTGAAGGTATCCTTAGACATGAAACCCTGAAGGGGCGTAGCAGTGTCCGGACCAAACTGAGAAGTTTTAATCTAATGTGTGCCGTGACAAATGGTCAAATATCCGTTTTAAATAGCAAAAGATAGAGCACAAAATTGTCTTTTACAAAACAGTTAAAATTACTTAACGTGTTCGACTTATGGGAACTTACCTTAACGGTGCATAGCTGAAATATCATTAAACAATTTCAATATTCTAAAACTGAGTTATGGTTATATAGATTTTAAGACTTTCGTGGTTATTCACTAAATGATTATCACTAGTACTGAGTCACGGGTTGACTGAGTCAACCCGTGACCATGGAGCGTGCAACCGTTCCGAAATATCGGGAAAATAAAAAGAAGTCATACCGTGGTAAGAAACCCGATACTAGTGATAATCATTGAGTTATGGTTTTTTATGATTTCTCAAAACATATTTTGTCACTTAATTCAATCAACCATGATCACCTTTAACGTCCCATTGCTGAGCATGGGTGTCCTCTCAGGCAAGAGTTTAGGACAGTCCGCCAGCCTGGCCCAACGCGGGTTAAGAACTTCACACGTTTTCCAAAGCTTGTGAACCCTTCTTCGACGTGCAGGTTTAAAAGTGGTATTATTTAACCATCAAGTAAACTGCCTCCGTGGCCGAACGGTTACCATGCTGATCTGCCACGCAAAGGCCCTGGGTTCGAATCCTAACTCGCAAGAAATATTTGTATGGCCTACATTTATTTCTCTCGCGAGCTTGGGTGTAATTTGTGGTTGTCTGTAACAAACCTAGATATGTCCATGGCACCACCGACACAGGGTTTTCATTATGAGTGTGTGCGTTAAAAATGTATAAAAAAAATTGGAGGGTCATTTCTGTTCCTGCATACGAATTAATTGAGTAGTCGCATGAGCAGCATTGTAACTGCAAAATAGCAGTAGGAATGCAGCATGAATGCAAATTGCGCGCTATCATGCATTTGCTTAGAATGCAGCACAACTGCACGGCAATTGCAGTACTAGCAATCGCCAATTGTGATACTGTATGGCAACTACAATCGAAGTGCCGTCAAATAAAAAAAACCGCTATGAGATCAGCACATTTGTTTGACTATGCCATAGATAGACAAACAGACACACAAATACACAGACAAAGCTTCAAACTTATTTCTACGTCAGCGGTTAAAAATAGTGTTAAATATACAAACAAAGCCGGCTGGAATCACGTGACTCGTTACGCGAAATTTTGATAAGTATGAATAGTAAGGAGCGCCACACGCAGCAATTGTACAACTATAGGCGCTGGATGAAGAGATCCCGTGTTCGCTTCCCGGAAGCACCGATTTGATAAAATGAACTTTTGTAAATTGTTTTTTTTTTGACACCAAGTGACGGGACGACTAAGTCGTGTGCTCGGTGGTTATGTGATACACCTGTCCATAACAGTTTTAAATCGTAAAGATCTGTGGAACACTGCTACTGCACCCGTCGGCGTCGAGAGATATATATATTGACAAGTCCCATGTGCCTGTAATTTCACCAGCAGACTTACCCATCAAAACCGGAACTGCCTACTAAAATTCTACAAGCAAAACAAACAAGTCGTGTGCACACTGGGTGCAATTTCTCAGTTTGTGTAAAAAAATTACTTAAAATAATATAGCACCCTAGGTGTAATAAGGCCACAATAGCTAAATTAACAAGTTTTCAGGTTTAATCATTCTACGAAAGAAATTAGTTGATAACTTTTTTGTGCTTAAATTATAAAATTTCATAAATAATTTGTTTAAAGTAATTTGAATAACAATATCGTTTATTGCAAAATACGTTGTTACATATAGGTATTATTAGTTGGTAAAGTATCAAACATGTACCCCGTAAGGGCGCAGCAATGTCAATTTTAAGATACACATTTTGATTGATTGCTATTTAATTATAATATTGCTAAAATGAAAATAAATAAATCTAAGTAAATATATTACACAAATGAAATGAATTAATTTTAAAATGATTGTCAACTTTAAATTTAAAGTGTTTTAAAAATCAATCAATTTTATTAATAATCAATGAATTAAAAATGTATTAAATAATTAATAATTAATCGTCACATTATTCTAGAATTGCCTAATAATAATAACATTTGTCAATTAAATCTTCTTAAATAAATTATATTATTATGATAATAATTAAAAATTATATTATATTAATATATAATAATATATGAATTTGCTAAATAACACTTTTGACGTATGATCACTTGTGGCTTTATTATACCGTGGCTGGGTACGATATACAAAAACCAAAACTTCACAATACCGTGACGTACTTTAAAGAATTTGCTCCGGCGTTAGACATGTTAACCGTGGCGCGTTTCAAACAGAACTGAACCAAGACGTATTTATTTTATCGCGGTTATTATTTTATTATCTGCTCTAAACCGACCATAATAGATAAATTACACAGCGTAACAAAATGATATAATCATTATGACAACAATAATCAATTAATTCAAACAATACTTAGTGCATATTTACAGTGCATTTTTCTTTTTTACCGATTTTAAAAAATGGAGGAGATTCTAAATTCGGCTGTATGTATTTTTTTATGTTATATAATGTGAACCGATTTTGATGATTCTTTTTTGTTGGAAAGTTGTACCTCATTAGTGGTCCCATTTAAATTTGATGAAAAAATTTCACCTCTAAGGGTGGCAAACTAGATTATTTTTAATAATGTCCACACTAATTACATGATCTGATTTTAGAGAACTCCTTAAATTATGAGTATCAGACAACGGAATTTACTCTCGGGGACTACCCAGAACACCCAGACCGGCAATTCCGAAATGTTCATTTCTCAAATTGGTCCTTTCGACAATCGAACCCGGAATCTCTCGTCTGCGTTGTACAGTGCAAATTATTTCGCCACCAAGCTCATCACATTCTAAAATAAACTTTATGATAGTGTTAAAGCGTTGTTTTCTTTGTTTATTAATTATTTTGGGTTTTTCCCCCCAATGGGGAAAAGATAGATTTATGTCTAATTATTATGAAAAAGAACTACGGAGTGGAAAGAATTTCTCGGGCTTGGGCCTTTTCAAGGCGAGAGTGAATAGGCATTATATTCAATGCATTATATTATATTAGGCATTATATTCAAATGTGTTCAGTGCATGCTCCATCGTCGACCTCATCGTCACTTTCGATCGGGTGAGATGAAGGTCAAATGCGCACGGTTAAGAACACGGAACAAAAAAGAAATGGAAGTGCCTTAATCCTCGATTACTACCAGAACCGATGTCGCCTAAACTCACACATTCTTAATTGAAAGCACAACAAAAACTTGATAATGATTGGTCGTAGTTTCAAATTTAAAAAGAAATAACAAATTCTGGATTCTTAATATAATTTAAACTTTACCCTGTTGGTATATCGTTCGAAGTTCAATATCATCAATATCTATTATTGCAAGTTACGACGTTTTGCTATTTACGTATTTATGTATTGAAATTTCAATAAATGTGCTGTCATCTAGCGGTTAATCGCTGAACGACGACGAATTGGAGTTATTAATTTAGTTCTCCGTAAAAGAAGCGACCATATTGCAGGGGTTAAAAAAATTATTTCCATATATAGAAAATTGAAAATATGTATTAATAGACTTACCGATGATATGACATACCACCACGAGTAATATTTTTGATGCGTCTATCATTTTTGCACTCCAAAACACCACAATACAGTATTTTTTTAGGATTTTAGAGAATTTGCACGAAAGAATCACACAACCATACCATGCAAAGCGAAAATGGCGGACTAGGCTCAAGTAGGTCTTTCGAGACCTATAGTTGACACGCGTCTGATGTAACCATGATGTAACTAACCACTTGTACTATATTTATTGTTCTGTGGTTAAGAACGATTGTTGACAAATGTGCTAAGTTTTCTCTATGTATACAGTTAACATCAAGCTTGACACCTTGAATCGTTCTTACAATCGGCAAATAGAGTTAAATTAGAATGTTATGTATCGTAACGTACCCTTGACCCTATACATCAGGCGTACATCCGAACATCCATTTGATTGTAATAATGTGCCAGACAACTACACCAATTGCCTAGCCTCTAGCTAGGGACTTCCCCGTAAGTACTATGAGTACCAGAGCTGAATTCCTTTGAATTTAGTCTGAGGCACTTCCCAGAACACCCAGAATAGAATAGAATCATTTAATCAACGCCACCGAGTCCGTCAAATGTGTTAAAATGACAATAATAATATTTTTTATTTTTATTTTGGTTATTAATTTTATGTGGCAACATTTGCCTTTGTACTTCCGCAAAACTTTAAAAAATAGAATAGACTCTGTTCCATCGAGTATACGTATATACTCGATGCTCAGTTCTCATGGCTCTCTTTAGCTGTAATTGTTCATATTTGTATACCATTCTATTAAGCCTGTAATTCATATATGATCGGTTCCATTTACTTTCAATCGGGGCCTTCTTTAAAATCCGATAAAAACAATGTTTAGGTTTTTTCACGACTACAAATATATATATAGTATATATTTATACTAGTATAGGTTTCCAGAATAGACTTCTTAATACACTTGAACCCTCTTTCCAAAGCTACTACATTGCTCCGAAATATGAAATGGTATCTAATTATGAGCAAGACGTTAAAAAATACCTTTACATCGAAAATAATATTAATTGATTTATTCAATTGACAATAGGAAGAATACGTTTTGTTTTCAAAGTTCGTCCAGGAATTACTGCCACTTTACCTATTTCTGCTGCCAAACACTAAATGAGCATTACTGAGTTCCGGTTTTGAAGGGTAGGAGTGCTGGTGAAATTAATAGCACATGTGACTCGTCAACCTATGTCTCAGGGTGGCGTGCGGAGTGGCCGTGCCTGTCCGGTCTTTGCGGTTTAAAACTCTGAGTGGCACTACAACTGTTATGAACAGGCGTGTCGCTTACCACAAGGCCCACGACTTGTTCGTACCGTCACTTGGTCTCATAAAAAAGATAACATTTTATACATTTTTTCTCGATCTAAGGTGACGTGCAATTAATTAACTTCGTTTTCGCGACAGCACTATCGTGAAGAACTCATATCACTCATTCTCCCAAGAGCGATTTTTACGTTTCCGGTAATATATTTATCTGTTGGCTTAAGTCCTTATCTATCTAAGTCTCGATTTATAAAACGATGTATCCCCTTTTCGTATCCAACGAAATAAAATTATCGAATCGGTTAACCTAATATCCATGCATTTTCCGAACTCCTAGTAATGTATTCTTTATATCGCACCTTTGCATTTGTGATATAATAATCATTTATAAATGGAGATAAATAACTCGAAGTTTAGAAAAATTTAAACCGTGGTTTAGGCTACCACGGCTTAAAGGCTACCCCAATTCATTGCAGTATAAATCTTACCGAATAAACAGCGGCGCGTACATTGATATAGAATCGCTCACTCGATGTCTGTGCTGCAAAAAAACGCACACAGCTCTATACGTTATCGAATACGTAACGGACTTGTCAAGTAAATTGACTGAAATTTTACGTATTCGGTGTGCAGTGGCGCATAGTATTAATGCATCTCTTTCCTCATACGTCTTTTAATCGCATGAAAATATATCGTGTGATCACCCAGCTATCTATCCGTTTATAATCAAGAAAACGTGCAGGACAATGCTGTGTGAATGAAGCCTAATGGTTTGCCCTACGGCCTCTCAAGCAGAGACCGTGAATTCGGATCTGGGGTAGCATCCTAGTGGTGAAACTTGCATGTCGAAGTAGTTTCACAACCCTCGAAAAACGTATGAAGTCCTCAACCCGCATAGGGCCAGCGTGGCGGTCTATGGCGTAGACCCTTGCCTGAGAGGAGACCAGTGCCCAGCAGTGAAACGTATAAATGGGTGATGGGGTGATGATGATGATTTAATAATAGTAAAATTTTTCGTCTTTCAGAGCAATACAGCCAGAGTGCCAAATCTTGGCTTGTAATTTTTCTTCCATAATTTAATTTTCTAAGATTTTTTTCGAGGGAAATTGTTATGTCTATACTTAGAGGACGGAAAAAAATTAAATGGTAGCTATTTTTTCCCAAACTGAGATAGTTATTCTTTTTTTTTGTAATTCCTTGGTACTATGGCGTCCAGCCTTTGGCCATGTGTAATAGATAGTTATTCAAAAACTCCGTTGTAATAATTATTTTTTTTAAATAATTAGGGAAAAGGCAAAGGTTTAAAACAAGTCAAGTCTTAGTGAATTTTTCTTTTGCTAGTTGTAGATAGGCAAACAGACATTCGACAAGTCTACAGTCTAATTCAGGGTATATTGTTCCAACTCCGGGTAAAGTTGAGTCCAAAATATCGACAGATTGGGTAAACGTCAGTCGGTTAACTACGTCAATAGACTAATAAAAGCTGCTGGTCCAATGATAGCCAACGAATAAAATATCTCTTATATGTATAATATATTTCGTAGAACTAATGTTTCTTGTGAAAGAGTTCGTCCAGGGAAGTTCTGCCATCATACGTATTTCTGCCGCCAAGCAGTAATGTGAGCATTACCGCGTTCCGGTTCTGAAGTGTGCTGGTGAAATTACAGGCGCATGAGATTTGTCAACTTATGTCTCAGGGTCACGGGCGCAGTGGCAGCTTCCCTCAGATCTTTACGGTTTAAAGCTCTGAGTGACATTGCATAAAAAATATATAATAAATTACAAATTTTAGTAGCAGTAGAACTCCTTGTGAAAGAGTTCGTCCAGGGAAGTACTGCCACCTGACCTATTTCTGCCGCCAAGCAGTAACGTGAGCCATACTGAGTTACAATCACAAAGAAAAATTCTTTCGATCCGGCTAGACAAGAACCAGCGACTTTTACGTATTCAAATTTTTCCAAAAATTACCTCCAGTAGAATTTAAAAAAAAGACATTCCTAGGTTTCTCAAAGGTGGCGCTACTACAAAAAAAGTCGTTAAAATCAAAAACACAGACCTATAACAAGCACATAGAGAAGTAAGGTTATTACAATACATAACTCGTTTCGTAGCTCAGTTGGGAGAGCGATAGCCCCAGTTTGGCGAAAAAGTCGCTGGTTCGAGTCCAGCCGGATCGAAGGAATTTTTCTTTGTTTGTTCGATCTTTGTGTGAATAGTAACAACAAAGTAATGGTGTATTTTTATATTCAATAGTAATAGTAGTACAAATGCGAAAGTAACCCTGTCTGTAAATGTTTTCAAATTTGAACCGCTGAACCAAGATTGATGGATTTTGGTACAGAGATAAGCTCCCATATCTTACGATAGTTTTGATTAGTGACCCTCCCTACCTACCCTTAGGGCATACGTGAAGGGCACTA